TCCAGAGTTTGTAGCCTTTAACACCTTTTGGATATCACAAGAAAACACATTTTACTGCCCTTGGTTTTAGCTTATCATCCTTGACATGGACATAAGCTAAACAACCAAAAACTCTTATATTGCCAAAGTTGATTGAGTGGCCAGTCTATTTCTCCATAGGCATTTTGAAATCTATTACTGAGGATGGAGTCCTATTAATGAGATAGACTGTAGTGTGTACTGCTTCTACCCAGAACTTCACAGGTAATTTTGCACTTGACAACATACTTCTCACTTTTTTCTAAAATGGTCATATTCATCCTTTCACATAGGCCATTTTGCTAGGGAGTGTTCCTCATTGTTTTGTGCCTCACAATACCATGTAACTTGCAGAAACTGTTGAACTCCTCATTCACAAACTCCAAGCCATTATCAGTTCTTAACTTCTTCAATTTCGTTTCAGTTTGAGTCTCCACCATAGTCTTCCACTCTTTAAACTTAGGAAATGCTTCATCTTTGGTCTTCAAAAAATAAACCCAAACATGTCTTGAGAAGTCATCCATAAAACTGATGAAGTATTTGCATCCTTTTAAAGAGTAATGTCTAGAAGGTCCCTAAACGTTAGAGTGAACATAATCAAGTGGAGCTCTTGAGTAATGTTGTCCAGCACTAAACCTCACCCTTCTTATCTTACCATATACACAATGATCACAAAATGGAAATTTGTCAATCTTGTCTCCACAAAGTAGATTTTGCTTGCTAAGTTTTGTCAATCTCCTTTCACTTACATGAGCTAGTCTTTGGTGCCAACCATGCTTCTGTCTTGAACTTCTGGAGAGCTTATAGCAACTGACCCATTTGCAACTCCCCCATTCAACACATATAAGCTATTTTTCTTCTCAGCCTTCATAACCACTAGAGAACCATTCATCACCTTCAGACTACCATTAGTAGCTTTGTAACTAAAGCCATTTACATCAAAAGTTCCAAGTGAGATTAAATTTCTTTTTAGATTAGGGATATATCTAACATTGGTAAGCACCTTAGTCAGACCATCATGAAGTGTTATTCTAACATCTCCTATTCCTTTTACCTGACACATAGAATTGTTTCCCATCAATAGCTTCCCACCATCTACCTACTGAAAAGTGTTAAACCAATTCCTATTTTGTGTCATATGAAAAGTACAACCCGTATCTAAAAGCCACTCCTCACTTGATTTTCCCTCAAAGACTATTAAAACCTTAAAACTGTCATAACCATTAGCAACAACATCTGCACTACCCCCTCCATTTTCCTTCTCTGATTTCTTTTTGTTTCTTCTATCAGGGTAAAATGCTTCTTTTGTCATAAAATGCCCCTCTTTATGACATAAGAAGCATTTTAGAGCACCAAGTTTAGACTTAGATCTGTGTCTACCTTGATTGTGTCCCTTTTTTTTCCAATGTTTCTTTTTAGATGTTCCCCTAACATTTAAACCTTCTCCATCTCCACTAGACTTATCCTTTGATCTATTTTCAGAATCATTTGCAAAAATTGCCCTTGTTACTTCCTCTAATTTCAAAGTTTGTCTCCTATACTTCAAAGTATCCACAAAGTTAGAGTATGATTTAGGCAAAGAATTTAACAATATAATAGCTTGATCTTCATCACCAATCTCAACAGATATACTCTCTAAGTCTTGTACTAATTTCAACAAATCACCCATATTATTTGTTAAAGATTTCTACTCATCCATTTTAAAACCAAATAATTTCTATTTTAAATAAAGCATGTTAGGAACTACTTTAGACTTTGTCTAACTTACTCCAAATCTCAACGGTTGTCTTCTCCTTCTTGATTTCCCGAAGAACTTTATCACCCAGTCCAAGAATCAAGGAACTCTTTGCTTTATCCAACATATCCTTCTTCTTAGTTACTGTCATAGGCGCTGGAAGCTCTTATTCATCTTTCAACGCCAAAGCCAAGCCTTGTTTTACTAGTACATCCTTCATCTTTATTTCCAAAGCCCAAAATCATTGGTACCTGTAAATTTCTGCAACTCAAATTTAGTAGACATGATTTTAGATTAAAAAAATGCCCTCAACCAGGCTTTGATACCAATTGTTAAAGCTGTAATCTAAAATCTAGATGAGAATAAACAACCAACTATAATAGAAAAGGAACAATGGATTTAAAATAGACTTCAATGAAAATAAGAGACACAACAATATATAGTGGTTCAGCACTCAAGGCCTACATCCCTCTCCAAGCCAAAGAAGGATTTCATTCAATCACCAAGGTTAATTGATTACAGAGTATAGGTTAACCTCAATATAAAACAATCAAGAAAAATCACCCCTGAAGCCCTAGCCTCCCTTGTTTTTACCTCTACCCTTGGTAAACCCAAGAGTAAGTGTTTATACAATAGAGATAACCCCTTTAATTAGCCTCCACTTGGATTTATATTCTCTTCCAGCCGTGAGATGATAATCACACTCAATTTTGCCATTCATTTTTATCACCATAAACCAAGAGATGAAGAAATGGAGAGTGTTCTTTGAGTTGAGCAAATGACATGAAGCAAAACAGAATAGAAGAGGTCCTCCCATTCAAAACGGTGTCACTTCTCATATTTGGGTTTCTTTGACTTTTCAACATTGCTGATGTGGCAAAGCATGTGCCACATCACCACAATCATTGATGTAAGGCCTTTTTTGCTATAATTTTATTTTAAGATATATAGTAGAATCTCTTTACAGTCATAATGGTGAGATTAAACTAATTTTATTACTATAATGAGTTATAACTTAATAGAGGTGTAGTTATAAAAATTACTGTTTTGACTTAGTTATCCTTAGTGCAAGTGGTATAGAGGTAAAATATGCATTACATTAATAATTAATTAATGGAGCATGTCAAATCCATGTATAGACATTGATAAAAGAGATAGATATAGTTTCGTACCAAGAAGCTCTAAACATGCTTGAGAACCTAGAAATATTTTAGCTTCAACAAGATGTCTATGCTAACGAGTTATTACGTACTCACAAGTTCAAAGATGTTGTAACAACTCTAAAGCATAAATCATTATCACAAACAACTTTAGATAAATATTTTATTTCATCTTAAACTTTTAATATAATATAGTATATATTTTTTGCAATATACAAATAATTATTACTATATGGAGGCTAGTTCCTTAAGATGAGACCTAGAAAAATTATAATTTATTATAATGTAGAGTTTATTCTTACTTATAGCTAGTTCAAGTTAGGATCATAATTTTTTATGACTACATGAAAGTTATTTCTATATAAAGTATCATTATAGAGAGGTTCTACTATATTTTTAATTTCAAAAATATCATAAATGGTGCTTACAAAAGATTGAATGAGGCTTAAATAACACTAATCTTCCTATTTCTTTGCTCTACTTTCTTAGTTAGTGGATTACTTGGAGTAATGAGATTGATTATAATCACATCACATAAGTGGTCTCAATTATTTAGGCATATATGCCTCTTTGTCTATTGGGCTTTCATGAATTTAAATCTGGACTTAGTTCATTTTCTTATTTCTGGGCTTTGATTGCTAGGCTTGCTCATTATTTTAGCCTTCGACAATTGTTAATTTATATCCATTAATGTTTTGTTTACAATTGAATTATACAACCAAACAAAAATTGTATAATATTTATGTAAATGACTATTCTATCATTTGTTTTTTGTCTGATTGTATGACTCAATTGTAAGCATAGCATTGCTCATTTGTATCCAACACAATATAATGCCTAAAATACCTTTTACTTATTCTATATTGAGTGTTTGTTTTTCTAATTCTCAAGCTCTATCAAGTTGATTGCTCAAGCATGAGTTTGGATTGATTTGACTATAAGTTTTATGTTCTTCAAATCATACCTTGATGAAATTTTATAATGTTGAGATTTCATATCACTACAACAAAAAGGGCTTTTAGCTACAAATTTTGTTGTTGCTAAAAACCTAGAAATTGTTGCGATATATGTTTAGTGACGGAAGAAAATTGTTGCCATGATCGTTGCGCTAGACATGTCACATTTGATTTTAGGTGACAATTTGTTAAAATTCGTCGTTAAATCTAGCGACAAACCAAAAAATTGTCACCTATACCATTTCGTCGCTAAAACTATTTACTGGTGAAATATTAGTTGTCGTCACCTAAAATTAATAGCGACGTACTATCTATTGTGTCGCCTACATTATATCGCGACGAAATGTGTGTTTGTGTTACCTAATGTATACCGCGACGAAATGTGAATTTTGCTCGCCTACAAAATACCATGATGAAATGTGCATTTTTGTTGCGTAAAGTTAATAGCGACGTCATAATTGTGTGCGTCGCATAAAATATACGATGACGAAATGTGATGTTTTGTTGCCTAATATATAGCATAATAAAATATGAGTTGTTATCGCCTAAAGTTAATAACGACATAATCTTTGTATGTCATTTAAAGTATAGTATGACGATACTTTATATTTCGTCACTTAAAACTATTAACGATGAAACGTGAAAATCATCAACAAAACTTTTCAACGATGAATGTATTTTATAGCTAAAAGTCTACAACGTCAAAATATAATTGTCATCGCCCATTTTATAATATATGATTAAATAATATTTAATTTGTATTAGAAATTTTAAAAATGTAATTAATTAAAATCAGACAAATATATCAAACCTAATATATTATAGAACTACATATGTTTGTTTTCAAATCAAAAGTTAAAAATATATAAAGTTGATTAAATTGTTAATGTTCAACAAAAACTGAAATAAAAATTCAAATTGTTGCCGATGGTGGAGGATCTGGTGGAAATTGGCCCGAAAATGCCTATGAGCCAGTAGAACAAGAACCCATATTAACTGAGATGAACTACTACATCTTCTCCATCATTTGCCTATATTGGCAAAGTTCTTCCCTTATGCCTCTTAGTTCTTGCTCCTCCTCATGCAGGTGGTTTTGGACCATAACCCAATCCACGATAATTTTTGTTCCTTTACCTGTTGAGTGATCTCTAATTGAATAGGTGGCTGAGAACCTTCTTCAGGCTCCTGATTGAGAATGTTCTCCATTTGTTCCTACAAAAGTAATATATAGGTACATGCACACAAATATATAAATAAAAATAATATAATTTATAAATTAAAAAATTAAAAGGTATTAGGTTATAATATAAATATAATATACAAATATAATAAACTTTTATATAAAAAAATGAAATACACTACATAATACTTACATAATGAACCTTGGCTTCATCATTTATCCAAGTTTTTCTTTTACTGCTAAAATGAGTGTCATGGAATAAATTCACCTCCCTTGGAGCTGGCCTTTAGGAAGATCCTAATATTCAAATAAACAAACAAATTAACAGTATCTATGTGAATTTGAACAAGTCTGTATTCTGGCTGCTAAAGACAATTTTTATGAAGCTAGCGTCCATTTCATTCAAGGCTAGTTTGTAGTTTGGACTGTTTGTTATTTTCTTGCCAACAACTGTGTATACCTGTGCAGGAATGTAATATTGAAGAGGTTCCAGATGAGGAGGAAGTTGGACCCTCCCACAATAAGTTCAAAAGATAAAAGGCTAATGGACCAGATACATAATGCATAGCAACTACTCTGAGATGCGATCACCTGAGAAGAGCTCCTTTTTGTGAGAGGCAAGAATATGTTTTTCTAAAAGCTAAAGCAATAGGCACGAGTAATATGTTTCAGCCAAGGCCAATGATGTTAATCATTTAAAGCTTTTTCAAGTACTGATTAGCAATAATGCCAAGTCCTAATGTCTTCCAAGCAAAGGGAGAAGTTGTATCACTTGATGGTAGAACTAGCAAGACCAATTTAGAATCATGTTAGAGATAAAGCATATGAACTCTCATAAGGACACACATCATGATCACTTCAAGAGAAATTAGGATCTAGCCAAAGAAAATCCTTAACAACCTTCATATGACATGCTAGATCATCACGATCACTTAAACAAAAATGTGTACAGGACACACATATACAAAGACCAACAAGAGATAGACAACCAACTACTTGTCCATATTATAAGGAATTTGTGGTTAGATGGAAAAATAAATTACAATTTGCTGTTAGATGGTAACACGTAATGACGTCAAAGCCAAAATATAGATTTGCAATTTATCAAGGGAACTTCAAAATTCAAATCTTACCTCTCCTCAAAATAAGGCAGTAGTTGAACTAAGTAGGAACATAACCTCAGCACGCAACATCCACTGAAATAGCAAAGAAAGTTTGCACTAAGTCAGCTCCATTTATGACACAAGTAATGAAATCATTCCCTGGCTCTGCCAGTTCCCAAGTCATACAAGCAGCTGCACATGACATCCAGTTAGCTCTACAAATGTGCAGCAGACTAAACAAACATATATTAAAACAAGAATAACATAATGTTACCATGGACAAGCTTTAATATAAAGAGGCATCAACACTCATGGATTCACACGTAAACATTCCTAGTATATAATGTAACAGGAACACAATTCCACAGTCTGAGAACAAAAAGAACAGACCTGGAGCAAATGTAACACAAGTTGTGGTTGATAATTCCCTCCAATCCCGCAATACATACGTTAAAAGAGCTACAGTTCCTCCACCCAATGAGTGTCAAACAATCTATAAATATCCACAAAAGTTAATTCCAATATTATTCACTGGCAATAAAATCACATCAAATGTGAAATTAAGCGGTTCTGAAGCATGATTATACTTTGTACAAATTATACCAACATCAATAGAATTATAGAGGTATTTGGATTCTGCACACATTGAGAGATGCTAAGAAATCAACAACCAATTTTCACGCCAATCAATGAAAGATTGCAGTGAACACAACAAGAATACATGAAAAGACAGTGCAAACTTGACTATTTTTGGAGCAAATACATTTCTTGTATAGGACAAACCTTTATTATATGCACCGTGAGCTGAATTCTCCATTCTACCTTTATCATTTCTTTTTTCTTTTACTCTCTACCTTCTTCATTAATTTAACTTATTTACAGTAAATAGGCTTCTTCAGTAAAAATTTACAACGGAATCCACAATAACCAATGATTTGTAGAATACTTCTCCTAATAACAATTTGATATGACTAGTGACCATCAATATTCCACATTCATAAAGACAGCTATAAGAGACATTTGCCCAAAATATGTAAAACATTTTGAGGGTGCTATCTCAACTTTTAACTAATCCTGCAATCTGACAGATACCAACACCATTTTCACATCATGGAATAATTAAAACAGATAAACTTGGATCTATAAAACAACTGGCTCTATAGATACATACAGAGACAAATGCTGTAAATAAAACATATTAGTGAAACATGCTAAACAATAGGCTTTCTAAGTAGTACTATAAGAATGACGCTACTAAAGCTACAATACCTTCCACATTTCAGAAGAAGCTCTCTCAAATCTAACTGTCCTCATTTTCAAGCATAACAAGAGTCCTGGACTTGAAACACATCACAGAAGTAAGATTTTATATTCTATTACCAAAACCATATTTTTCTCAAACACTTACTATCAAAGGCTATAATCAAAGAATGGTACTAATAAGAAAAGGGATAGCCATTAGTGGCTAGAGAAATTAAATTAAAAAAATTACCTTGCTTATTGTAAGGGCAATGATGCAGGCTGTTGATGAACCCTTGGCTTTCAAGCTTGAGTGGGCCTTCTCCAACACCCTTGCAACATCAATTTCACCCTTGGGGACGCATTGCTTCTGAAGACCCATCGATACTCAAAGGCTGAGGCCCAAAATGAACCAAAGATTGATAACTATCATGATTATCATCTAGGGTTTCAGTATCTTCCATTGATGAAGAAGACCGATCAAGGGTTTTTGAAGTAGAAGGGGCTATACCTGAAATTGGTGAAGAACCATCTCGATTTGAAGATAAAGAAACCAAAGAATGGCCATTTAGGGTTTCTTTATGCGGCGACCGATGAAGATTTTGAGAAGGACCAGAGTCAGGTTCTACGATTTCGATCAAAAGGGTATTCATTGAGTAAGAGAAAATTGATATTGAGAATGGATTCAAAGAGAACGATAAGAAAGAATCGGAAATTCCTTTTGGGGCTTGTATTTACTGAAGTTAGGAACAGAACCTTGGTGACGATCTGGATGCCATTTCAGTGCACAAGCTCGATATCTACAATCAAGAAGAAGGAGATCAGACAAAAGAGGAAAACATCTTCTCATTGACAACAGTGATAGTTGGAAAGAAAATAATAATACAAAGGATTACAACGAAAAAAAATACCAAAAAGCAAACAGAATAATCTAGCGGACCAGCGTTGATTTAGAATGAATCAATGTTGTGGGGAGCTTTTGCACTTCAGTGGAAGAGAGGGAAAATTTTGTGGGTGTTTCTGGGTGCAAATAGGTACTGTGGTCTTTGGGGGGAAGAAATTGGTTTTTATTTTATTGTATATTTTAAGGACAATAATACATGGAATGACGGGATATAATAGTTGATTAATTATAAATTAATATTAATAGAGGATCATGATTACGTCATATCATTCGATATATAAATTTAGTATACAATTTTTTGTGACGATAGCATTACTCTTATTTTAATATTTTATAACCTTAAACCTTTGTCTTAATGAAAAATGGGTGGAAAATTTTGCCTTAAACTTTTGACTTAGCAGAAATTTTTAATTTTTGTTTTTTCAATTTAATCCTTGACAGTTAAAAAACTGTCAAAGATTGAGACTATAATTATCAAGAAATTTTTTTTTATAATTTATTTTTAACCAAATTTTCCAAAATAGTCAAAGGTTATTTCAAATTCTTGACAATTCATAAACTGTCAAGAATTAAAATTCTTGATAGTTTTTAGAACGTTCAAGAAAATTTATCAACTCATTTTGTCAAGAAATGAGGTTTTTCTAGTGGTGGTATCACATTTTTATGATGTGAATACCCAAATCCATTGTTTAAATAACTAGACCGTATTGATTGGTAGGACTGATCAGACCATAATCGGGTACCTTTAACGGTCCGGTTCTCTTTGAAAATCGGAATACACATTGACTTAGTTTGAAAAGTTATACAAAAGGTACAACATAGGCATTTGTACAACATTCCCAATAAAATTAAGGAAGATTAATCGACAACTCATGATGCATATCAAGTCAATAATTCAAATGAATTTAGTTTTCATATTGATGCGGAAGTTAATAAACAAGAAGAACTTCGTAGGGTGGATGTGGAACCAGAGGTTATTCAATTTATGGAGCCAAGTAGTAGAGTTAGTGATAATGATATATCATGTTGCTCAAATTTATATGCTATTATAGGAAATGTCAAAGGTTAGGCATGTACAAATTTATTGGAGATTATATAATTCAAAGAATTTGACAAGTATTTATTTCTTTGACAGGTTTTTTTGATTAATTTCTTATTATTAAGGATTGCTGCTAATATAATTTTAATTAAAAACAGTAACCATATTACTAATTTTGGTAGAATAATGTACTAATATATATATATATATATATATATATATAGTGGCAAGATTCGTTAGATGCGTAATTGTTAAAAAAAATGCATTTTGTTTGCTATGTCTTTAATATTTAATATAACAATAATAAAAAAATAATAAAAAAATTCTATCAGATTAAGTTTTCTATATGTTTTTTTAGAGGTGTGCTAGCAATAGTCGTGCCTGAGACAAGTGCTACACACCTTTTTATTTTACTGAAATAAAAAGATAGATTTATTACATTTGGCAACCGGTACGAGAACGTGCAGCAACTGTCACAGACACGATTATTGTTAGCATTCCTCTCTCTTTTATACAAATCTGTTTATTATTACCTAGTTTGAAACAATATGAAACTTCATAAGAAATTTGGAATTTAACCGAGAAGTGTAAACACTAAAAATAGAATTAAAAAAAAATGGTGGTTTACATAAATTACCCTAAATGGATGAAAATGTTATTATTTTTTAAATCAACCAACTTAAGAGTAAAACAGAAATAATACAATTTTTAGTATAATAAAATTTTGAACCAGAAAAAGAGGGAATAAAATTTACCGTTAAAATGCACAATTATGATTCAATGATTGTGTCGTGAAATGTTTAACTTTTGAACATTAAATGCACCTGCCCACTTCTTTTTTTCACTTCTATAAAATTAATTTATTTCCATCATAGCTCAGATTAAACCTAAGAGAGCCGCGTGTAGATATATTTTATCTTGCTGGTTTAGGCTTCGTTTAATTAATTTTTTAGAATTAACATTTTATTTTTAATAAGATTTTTGGAAAATATGATAAGATTTTGAGAACGTTTTTGGCACATTTTATAAAATATTTTCTGAAAATATTTAGATTATTTTTAACGCCCTAAGTTTATTAATTTAACTAAACAATCCTCACAATAAAAGTTCATAAATTGATAAAAACACCTCCACACACCCAACTATTGTTGGAAGCCGGCCACCACCGTCGGACGGTTGCCAGAAGCTGCTAGGATGACACATGACCAACTAGATTTGGCTGATTGTACATCGATCTGGCTCTTTTCGGCCAAATCCACTGTGGATCTAGTTGGAAACAGCTAGATCTACGGCTACAGATCTGGCCATTGTTTGGTTGTCAATGATAGTCAAGATATGGTCATCGTTAACGGACAGATTGGTACATAACCGGCCAGATCTAGCTGATCGTGCGTCATTATGATGTCGACGGCCTGTGGTGGCAGCTTGCAGGTGATAGTGGCTTGGGTGGGTGGGAGTGTTTTTGTTAATTTTAAAACTTTTATTGAGAAAGGTAATTGTTAATGTTTTGAGTTGAATAAAATAAGATTGACTTTTGAAGAATATTAAAACAAATACATTTTTCATTTTTTAGGATAGGATAGTAGAATATAGTGTAAAAATAGTGTGTCAAACGCAGGGCTAAACTTAGTTAAAAAAAAAAAAAAAAAAGCAAAGAAGGTCATACAAAGTGACGTGACTAAAGGTGGAAAAATAACCCGCCTAGCCCAACCTGTGGCAGGCGTTGGCTAGAAGGGTTGGCTCAGCCCGGCTCGCCAACCCTAACCCAACAGGTTTTTGTGCGGGTTGGGCCGGCCTGGCCCAAATTTTTTTTCTGTTGTGTAATTTTTTTAGCTAACTTTTCAAATATCAATAATTCAATTAAATTAAATTTTTTTGTTAACATTTTAAATATTAATTCAATTTTAATACAATTAAATTGTAATATGAGAAAAATTAGATTTATTCATTTATCAAAAAATAAAATAAGAAATAAGAAATTATAACAATTATTGTCTCGTGAAAAACCTTACCAAGAAAAACCCAATTAGGACAAAAACTTGTTAAGGAAAAAAGAGTGCAATAATTGATAGTTAATTTACAAATTATAAAACAACTAATTTGAGGGTTGACTAGAATCTCCCTCATTTGTATCATCTAAATTACAAAATTGAAATGATTCTATTAAAGTATCATCGACAACCTCGTATTGATCCTGATGGCACGACCGTTCCCAATTTCGAAGACTTGTGAGGGTTTCAATCAATTTTGGTGAAAGTTTAGTCCTCCTGTCATTTAAAATTCTTCCACTTGCACTAAATGTTTGTTCGAATGAGACGGTTGAGACAGAAACAGAGAAAACATCTAGGACAAGTCTTGACAATACCGAAAAAATACATTTTCTGATTTTTCAATATTTTAAGACATCAAAATTGGCTCTTAGTTGTGGATCTGCTGGTAGCACGTCGGGGAATCCCAAATATTGGTGAAGCTCATTACTCTGTAGCTGCATGGAAGACAATATATTTATTGTTGATGCTTTTGAAGAGAATGTTATGCTTCGGGTTTGGGTCCTTTTTGACCTATTAAGAGCCCTCCAAGAGTCAAAGTCTTCATTTGTTTCTTCTGATGCTACTTCCTCAGGTATTTCGTCTCTTTGCTAGTTCCCATACCTATTTTCATATTGCAAATATACATATGCAAGACACTGTTTTATCTCTCTTAGTTGATTGACATATGCTTCATCTCGTAAATTTTTACTTAACGTGTCTAAACCATTTTCTAAACGTGCTAATTTAATTCTAGGATCAAATATGACAGATAAACAAAAAAAAAAAAAAGGAACGAGTTTCCAATATTTTTTAAATTTTAATTCCATTGCCTCTATTGGTCCCACTAAAATTTCATTGTTTCTGTTTTTTCTAAATAAATCTGAAATTTTTATAATTGTATGTATTACCAATGGACTAGTAGGATAATACACACCAGAAAGTTTTAAAGTGGATTGATAAAAAAATTTAAGAAAATAATGAAATTTTTTAGTTATATGTCAATCACTGTCTATCAAATAATGAGAACCTCTATTATTTGCTACAAAATAACTAATTAAACTTGCTTAAGGTAAACATGAATCAAGCATTAAATAAGTACTATTCCATCTAACATACATGTTTAATGCAAAAGTTCTAGGAGACATATTTGATTTTATACAAGCATCTTGAAATTCAACATTTCTTCTATTACTGCTAGTAATCCAAGCTAAAGAATTCCCAATTCTATCAATATTATTTCTAATTTTTTTCATACCACTTTTCACAATTAAATTAATAATGTGACATACACAACGTTAGTGAAAAAACTTCAAATTGTCATAAAAAAGAAAATTACTTTTAAAAAAATCTATAGCTTTATTGTTAGCACTTGCATTATATAAAGTTAAACTTATCACTTTGTGAACAATATCATAATCTTCTAAAATTTCAACAATTTTATTATAAATTTGTTAACCACTATGATTCACATCCATTAATCTAAATCCTAATAAAGATTTATTTAATTTAGATTCGTTATCAAAATAATGACTAGTCACACAAATGTAATATATCTTGTTTAGCTCTACCAGTCCAAATATCGGTAGTTAAAGCCACAGTAACATGACAACTGTGCATTTTATTTCTTAACTCTAATTTCATTTTCCCAAACAATTTTATTAAATTATTTATAGTTGCAATTTTAGAATAACTTTTAAATCTTGGAAAAAATGAATTTTTAATAAATCTTTCAAAATATTTATCTTCAGCCATATTAATAGGTTGATCAGTTGGAGCAATATATAAAGCTAATTTTTGCCTATATACATTAGAATTATAACGCTAAGTAGTATCCATATTAGTTATTTGAGTTTGATTGGTTTCTCTATTTCCATGTTGATTCATATGTTGACTAGCATGCCTTTTTAAAGT